CACCTACTGTAACTGTGTGCACACTAGCGGCAAGTGTCCTAACTTGGAACTCCTCAGCAGCAGCCAAACAGAGGACAGTGGAATTCCCATTTACAACTTAGGCAAACTATTTACTTTTTATTTTTTTTTCTATTTTTTTGTGGTAAAAGTAGTTTATGATTTAATGCAGCAGCAACTGATGCATTTGCACCCTAGGTGTTACCGCTTATTAAAGAATTCAAGGTTCCACTGGGAGCAAGGATTCCAAATGATGCGTGGCTTGGCAATGACTAAACGTTGAAAAAAAAAATTTTTTTTTTAGTGTAAGCAGGAGGACTCAAACCTAAGATCTTTTGGTTACACTTCCTCCCCCCGTACCACCCAACCCAACTCTTTCCCCAAAATTATGGGCTTTCTTCTCAAAATTAGGCTCCGTTTGACAAGTGAATTATATGGATATTTGTCTAAAATTTTACTACAGAAATTGTAGAAAAATTTTTAAAGTGTATAAATTTTTGGATATTATGAAGTGTATTGTTCAAAATTTTTGAAAAGTTTTTTGACGTTACCATAATTAAAGTTATTAAAAAACTTGTAACAAACAAATTTGGCAAAAAACTTGCTTACCAAATAAGGCCTTAATTGGCCGTGAGCATATACAAACATGGAGCGGGAAGATTGATTGGCTACGACTAAAGGTTGAAAGAAGATGAGTTTTCTTCTTGAAATCAATTTATAATGAGTGGAGAGATTAAATATCTTTATTAATTAATTTGGATCAATGAGATGGCCTTGCAATATAAATATGTTTATCAATTCTTTCTTTTTTATTTTTTTAAATTATTTTTTTTATTTCACACACATTACATTGCAAAAATTGTTACGGACATATTTCAAAACATTTTTCTAGATAATCTTAATACAATACAAACTCAATTAACAACGACAGTAATAATAATAAACTAGTTTCTATCGCATCACTGAGAGCATTTGCTGCTTAATTAAGCAATTAGCGGCTGAGATCTAATTGCGTACGTAGTAGTAATATTTTGTGTTCATATACTAGGTAACCTGCAACAACTGTAAAAACTCGGGCACTCTGAGATAGACTCAGAGTGTATAACAACTCGGGCAAACTATTTAATAGTTTTTATTTTTCTATTGTTTATTTTTTTGTGGTAAAAATAGTTTATGATTTAATGCAGCAGCAGCTGGTGCACTTGCACACTAGTTGTTACCACTTATTAAAGAATGTGAGCTTCCAGTGGAAGCAAAGAGTCCGAATCATGTGTAGATTGGCATGACTAAAAGGTTTTAAAAAACGGGCTTTCTTCTCAAAATCAATTGATCTCGAGTGTATGAAAGCACGAGAATAAAAATCATGTATTGATTGATTGATTACCTATAATTAAAGGTTAAAAGAAGATGAGTTTTCTTTTCGAAATCAATTTGCACTGAGTAGAGAGACTCAAGATCTTTATTAATTAATTTGAATAAGTGAGATAGTCTTGGCTAAATTGACGTGTTTAATTTCTTGGGATTACTGTATTTAACCTGTTCAACGTTCTTTCAACTTTAATCCCTCCCACAAAATTCCACTACATAAGATAGGATTTCACCTCAGCTGCTTAACCAGACAATGGCAAAGTTGCAGGGAATTAAGGTGGTACCCCTTTTTTTTTTTTTTTTTTTTTTTTGGTTATCCCAGATGCTGATTTTTGTGGTCAGTTTTGGATCCCCGGACAATCGGTTTTGTTATGTCAAAGAAATTGCGCATTCAGGGACCCTCTTGCTGCTGTGTTATGAAATTTAATATTCGCTGTCCATGAGGGCCCTCTTCTTCGCTGTATTCATCTAATCTTTGCATAGCATAAATGCGTATCGAATTACATATTTACATGCGATGAACTTGACTCCCTTTTTTTTCTCCAAGGAGGAGGAGCGGATCGCTCCAGTTATTTCGCGAGGGCAAAAGATCAACCACGTAAAGTGACAAGTTTGTAAGAGGTAAGAATTGAACCCCTGACCTGTTGCATCATCAAAGATGATGATGATCACTGGACCAAATGGTCAGTGGCCAATGAACTTGACTCTGAGTTGTGGCTCTTTTCGTTTTCGTGTGCACCGCTTTTTTTTGGGGGGAGGAGGGGGTGGAGGAGGGGCTCTCCATAGCCTGTCTATTTCAGTATTTTGTCTGAGGTAACGCTGAAGATATATCATTCAATTTTTATACATTTTGAACTTGAATTGCGTGGTGGAGTTTCTTTCTTTATATGAGTTTTCTTAATCTACAGCTTTGGAACACCTGGAATTGAAATAGTCCCCAGCCCTGTGTTTGTTGGCAGCTTCCTAAACCGTGTACTTGTATTATACAAGTTGCAATGGTTTGACTCTTGGTTGTTTATTACTCGTGTGTTCTAAGCACAGTTGTAGGCTGAAACTCTGGAAGAATAATAAATATTTGTCCAGAACCTCCACCGTTTAAATAAGGTGATTGGTGGAATATTACCAAACACATGCAATGATTCCTCAATACTCACTTTCTGCCAGATTTGAAGTGCAATTTATAGCTTTGATTAGGCGATTAACTTGGAATTTAACTTTAGTGTGTGAAAGAGTTCAATCATATGTGTCTTTTTGTTTGAATGACAAAATTCCATCTCAACCGAAACACAAGAGTTTTTCATCTGATTTTCAATGAAATATCGGCATTTTGAGGGACGTTTTAGCTCTCTTTTTTTTTTTTAGTTGCAATTACCCTATTTTGATTGTTATTTTTAGAAATTTTATAAAAAAAATGTTATAACAATTTTATATACAAAAGATAAAATAATAATTAAAAAATTATTTAAAAAGACATAAAAATTTTTTTTTTTAAAAAAATCACAATCCAAACAAGGTTTGGGGGGGGGGATCTGGATTCTCATATGAGATTTGTCCTCATTATCCGTAATAAAATACCGTCCAGATATGTTGTCGTGCTTATTAGTTGTCTGCTATTGATTGTCAAACCAACTTATTTGACTTGAAGTGTAAGTGTACAAACTGAACAAAGCTAATGGCAACGACTAAAAATTCCAGCCAGTAGCTGCTTTTCTCACCAACCCATTTAATAGTTAAATTTAAGGGATAATTTCGGAAAACCTCCCTTGAGGTTTTGGACAGCTTCACTTGACCCTCCCAAAATTCTTAATTTTTGGTTAATTGATCGATATAGTTTTTTAATGAAAATTTAAAAGTTGATAATAAGATTGAAAAAACTCTTTAATAGTTTTTGTGTCATTAGTTCAAACAGGAAATGTTAGATAAAAAAAGAAAGGAATGTTAAATAACTTAAAATTACGATGGACTTACAATAATCAAATAACTTGCAATAATTTACAACCATGAGAATACCTTTTTGCATGAGATTAAAAACAATACAAACAAGTTTATGTATAATTTTTAGCATGTTGTATCATTTTACTTTCAAGCCATCTATTTGGAAAAAAATTGGAAAACTCAAAAATATGTAAAAGATTTATAAGAATTATTAAATTAACTCAAAACACTTTACAGTAAAGAAAATATTATCTTTGTAACTTACAAAAAACATTCATACTTTTTGTTTTTGTTTTTCATTTGTTATTAATATACTCAACATTTTGGTAATAAAAAGTAAGACAACAATAGGGAAAATTTAGAATGAGGTTATATTTACTCTCTCAAAATGAATTTTTTAATATTTCTCAAACTTAAAAAAATCTCACTTGCTTCCCTTATTTTGGATTTTTTTTATCATTTATAACCAATTTTAAAAAAATCTCACTTGCTTCCCTTATTTTGGATTTTTTTTATCATTTATAACCAATTTTAAAATATAATATTAAAAAATTCATTTTGAGAGAGTAAATATAACCTCATTCTAAATTTTCCCTATTGTTGTCTTACTTTTTATTACCAAAATGTTGAGTATATTAATAACAAATGAAAAACAAAAACAAAAAGTATGAATGTTTTTTGTAAGTTACAAAGATAATATTTTCTTTACTGTAAAGTGTTTTGAGTTAATTTAATAATTCTTATAAATCTTTTACATATTTTTGAGTTTTCCAATTTTTTTCCAAATAGATGGCTTGAAAGTAAAATGATACAACATGCTAAAAATTATACATAAACTTGTTTGTATTGTTTTTAATCTCATGCAAAAAGGTATTCTCATGGTTGTAAATTATTGCAAGTTATTTGATTATTGTAAGTCCATCGTAATTTTAAGTTATTTAACATTCCTTTCTTTTTTTATCTAACATTTCCTGTTTGAACTAATGACACAAAAACTATTAAAGAGTTTTTCCAATCTTATTATCAACTTTTAAATTTTCATTAAAAAACTATATCGATCAATTAACCAAAAATTAAGAGATGAATTTAGTGTATTATGATAATTAAGAAATCGCTAGAAAAGGGCAAATTTGGAATGAAATAGTATTCTCTCTTTCAAAATGAGTTTTTAATATTATATTTTAAAAGGTGTTTCAAATGTTATAAACAAGTTTAAAGTAGGAGAGCCAAGTGAGATTTTTCAAAGTTTGAAGGTACCAAATGAAACTATTAGAAACCTTAGGGGAGGTTTCTAAAATTATCCCTAAATTTGATGGCTCCCGAGCTTGGTAAAAGATATGTCATCATAGAAAACAGCTGTAGCTCTTAAGCATATGTTACAATCACGTACTTTTTTCTTTTGAAGAACCTTGCATGCTTGATCCTCTTTATACTGCTTTCGGTGGCTGAAAAACATGTTCCAGTTCCCCTTCTGCAGACCAAGATTTGTTTCCCAGAATAATAAGTCTGCTTGGGATTTTCCTCCACAGCTACTACTACAGGAAAAAGAGCTACTTTACCAGCTTTGGGTGGATTTAGACCTTCGCTGCGTTTATTGCTAGAGCTTTTTGGTGGGTTGACTGCTTTCCACATTGAAGGTCAAGAGTTTTTCTACTTAGTTGTCATTTTTCAAAAGTGCATATCTGAAGGTTAGACTTTGAGTTTGCATTTTGTTAACATTATGACGAAAATTTTGCTGTTTGATGCTGTATTGCACTTTTAGGATACATCTTCTTCTTCTTCTTTGGCAAGCTACGGCTTAAGCGCAGATTTTTGTTTACATTTAGTCCATATATATCTGAACTCTTCATATCCAGGAAATCCGAGACAGTTTTTTTTTTTTCTTTTTGGGTAAATTCAGATGCATTGAAATAAAAGTAAAAGACAGTAGGTTCAAGTACTTAGTTTAATACAGTCATCCTGGGAAGTGCAACTCCCCTGAAATCATCCAAAAAGATGGGGGAATACAAAATCAGGGCATGAATCAAAAGACTGGGATTGGTTGCTGCAGTTTCCTCCTTGCTTGGCCAATGCATCTGCAAATCTATTTGCTTCTCTGAAGTTATGGCAGAAATAGACCTGGGAAATACGAGACAGTTGATTTAAGCATGATGGCTTCAGATTAGTCCTTCGCAGTGAAATTGACTCAGAAACCACAAGGAAAAGTTTAGGACAAAAACTTGGGTAGACCCAGATTTACATGTAGACCGAGAGGTGGAAAATATGCCACATCACTGAAGTTAATTTTTTAGTTCAAAATGCTCCCTCAACAGCAGATCAGTCTTATCCTTTACATTTATTGGCTCCACTCCGCAATCCTCAAGACCTCAGTAATCGGTTTCCACCACCACCATTATCAACACTTCCTTATCACCTCCTTCTCCCCCACTCCCCATATCGACGGTCGCTCCTTTTCCGCTCCCTTTTTCCAAAATCGGCACCTACTGCTGTATTTCACGAACAGGTCCAGGCAGATGATGCGGTAATGTCCACAAGTGGAAAGAAGCTTCTAATTAGCACATAAAAAACATTGTCATCTTGATTGTTTGTTGTTTCCTCATCACATGGATGGATCCCGAGCAGCAGGCCAACAGTTTATTTATTTTGAGCTTTAGCATCAAGACTTCTTGGCACTAATCCCGTCCCACTCCCAAGTTTACAGCTCACCATGCGATGAAAGAATTTCATGATTATGTGAATGATGAATTTAACTAGTGCGTTTCTAATAATCCTAAGAATTTTGTAGTTGTTTTCCCCTTGACATTTTTTGGATTGAAAGAGGAAAGGGTTGTGGATTTTTTAGGATCAACTTCTTTAATGTAGTAGATTTTGGACCACCCGATCTACTGATGAAGCCGTAGCCCAAGTTTATCTAAGGTTTTGCCGAACAAGTGCAATAGTTATCCACATTGATTTTGATTTGGCCGAAAAATGGCTAATGTCCTAAAAATTGATTTGACCAAGCATTACTTGTCAAGTCTTGAATGACAGCCATCTGTACCATCTTTTAGGAAACTTGTACTTCTCTCTCGTCCTTTGCCTTCATCTCCTCCGTATTCTGTGGCATAAAAAAGGAAAAAATTTGGTGCCAGCCCCTGTGCTCTTGTCCTAAAGTGGCAGAAGCGAATATATTGTATACAACTTTATCTTTCTTATTTGTTGACTACCAAGCGATTGTTTCTTTGATATACTTGTGCCAGACAATAGATATCTTTTTTTTCTTTGCTGCATATCTCTGTAATTCAACGTTCTTTCTGATGTTTTAAGGAAATTGGGTATTTATGTCCAACTTCAGCTTCGCAGTATACAACGTTGAAGGGACTGCCACTTAATTTCAAGGCTTCTACTAGAAGTTAGGAGTATAACAATAGTTAAATCTCAGGAAATATGGCAGGCAGCTCCCTTACTCTAGTAAATAGGCACCCATCTCTGGTTCTCCCCAAAGGCCAATATATGGGAAAAATTCATAATGCAGATCATGTCATTGTAACTTTCTGCTTCCTTACGTTAAGAGCTGCCTGATCTGATTATTTACCATATAGGTGCTGCTTCTTTGACATGGATAAGAGCGAAGGAATTAACCTCACAGAGAGAGATTCTTCAGAAAGACTTCCTTCACTGATTGAACATATTGCTGCAAATAAAGTGGCTGGATTTGATAACATTAAGGGGAAGAATGAACTGAATTATCAACCAGCTGCCATGTGTTCTCATTGTTTAAGCCCCTTAAGCATGGTGAGTCAATAGAAAACTAATGATTTTACCCTGTTCAGCAATAATATTATGTTAACATCTTGAATAGTCATGAGAATTAGCATTTTAGTTTTTGACAATCAAATGGTTCTTGGTGTCTGCAATACTATTTATCTTGTATATGTTTCGACTCTTCCCTGATTTATAGAAGCATTTTTTGGTTGAGACTTTTTGGAAGTCAAGGCCTAAGTTGCTTCAAGGAGCCATCAATATTAGTGGCCCATTGTCAGACTCCTATAATTGCTTTTAGTTGACCTGTATTGCATGTCGATAATGTATGTTAGCTATGTTAAAGGGATATACTGGGTGACTGACATAGTAGATGTTGCATATTAAAATTATCTTTTACTCGTCGAGGGCCTCTTGGTGTATAACGTGGTCTTCAGGATTAATTTAAAGGCTAAAGGAGCCAAAGAATGAGATAGTAAGTGGCTTGAGGCAAAGGCATGCTCTTAAGTAACTAACCATGATCATAATAAGGCCCTTCTTAGAAGCTTCGTGCTAAGTAAATGTCACTGATTATGATAGACTTGGCTCCAGCGTCCTTTTTTAACCAATGGGACCTTAACCTGGTTCTCTTTTCATTTTCCCCATCTCTGACATGAAGGGGATTTCTGCTGCTGGGATACTCTTAGTTGCAGCATTGCATCAACTATTTCGATGTGGAAAGTTCTCTGTTGTTGTTTAATTTGCAAGACGGCAAGCTCCTGACACTCTTGTCATTGGGTTGCACTCTACTAATTGTTTCTGAAGTTATATGTTATGTTAATTTTCTTAGGGAACTGTGGCAGCAGCTGCAGATGGTCAGAGTGATCTTTCTCAGACTCAAAGACTGCATTCTGTTTCTATTAGCATGCCATCTACTCCTGCGGGAAATCATTCCTCAAATGCGAAAAAAGTACTCTTCAATGATAGTAATGAAATAATTTTCAGCAATGATGCTTCAAATTCTGCTGCTACAACCAATTATGGTGGTGCTGCAGAACTAAAAATCACTAAGTTTCATTCTCAGCCAATGCCAACAGGTTCAACATCTCATCAGGTTGTCGCAAATGGCAAATTTCCAAGTCATCCAGAAGGTCCCCTCAGGAATCCTGCAATTAACGGACTAAAGGATAAAAGATTTGACACTTTCAAAACTTGGTCTGGGAAGCTTGAGAGGCAAATATCCAATTTACGTGGAAAGAACAGGGAGGATACACATGATTCCAATCCACAAGAGAATATAGAAGTGGAGACTTTACCTGTGGACCGGTACTTTGATGCCTTGCAGGGGCCTGAACTTGATACACTACGGGTATGTATCTTTGCAAAATTCTGTTCTTCTTTTATTTTTGGTATATGTCTAGGTGTAGTGAGATGGTTGTGTATTCATCACTGAGATTTGCAACATTGACTTTCTGCTGTACAGCCATCTGAGGAGATAATTCTTCCTGAAGATAAGCAGTGGCCCTTTCTTCTTCGCTACCCAATCTCTTCATTTGGTATCTGTCTTGGTGTTAGCAGCCAAGCCATTATGTGGAAAGCCCTTGCAACGTCTACTTCCACAAAATTTCTGCACATAAGCCCGGATGTAAACCTAGCTTTGTGGTGCATATCGGTTGCTCTTGTTGTAATCGTCTCTTCCATTTACTTTCTGAAAGTGATTTTCTACTTTGAAGCAGTTCGGCGAGAATACTATCACCCGATCCGTATCAATTTCTTCTTTGCTCCATGGATAGCACTCCTTTTTTTAGCTCTAGGAGTTCCACCATCAATTTCTGAAAAGCTCCATGCAGCTCTATGGTACATTCTTATGTTTCCAATCTTTTGTCTTGAGCTAAAAATTTATGGACAATGGATGTCAGGAGGAAAGAGGAGGCTTTCAAAGGTGGCCAATCCTTCAAATCATCTCTCAGTTGTTGGAAATTTTGTTGGGGCATTGCTTGGCGCATCCATGGGGCTAAAAGAAGGGCCTATTTTCTTCTTTGCTATTGGATTGGCTCATTACATGGTCTTATTTGTCACTCTCTACCAAAGACTTCCAACAAATGAGACACTTCCAAAGGAGCTTCACCCAGTATTCTTTTTGTTTGTTGCAGCACCTAGTGTTGCTTCTATGGCGTGGGCGAACATTCAGGGATCCTTTGATTATGGATCACGGATTGCTTACTTCATTGCTATGTTCCTCTATTTCTCGCTGGTTAGTCCTTCTATTATGTGATTTCTCATACCTATGTGCTTTGCATTCTCAATTTTGTTGAGTATTTTATGCATGGATAGGACTTACAAGGTCTTTGGTGAGCTTGGTTGGCTTTAGCTATAACATTAACACTCAGATGAATGTTGTCTGAAGACTGAGGGGATCTATAAGATAAGAAACCACTTCCCTACCCTTGAAATCGAATACCTTCCTGAGCATTGTTGTCGAAGAAAAAGTACTATCCTCTAGATAAAAAATGAGGTTGGAAAACTGGCCAAGGCTAGCTAGTTCATGTTAAAGTGGATGATCAAGTTGTTTCGCGAGCAACTTTATCTAAGCATATTCAATTGGTAAGAATAGGTATCTAATCATTTGCTTCTCCTCCTCACAGGCTGTTCGCATTAACTTTTTCCGAGGCTTCAGGTACGGTAAGATGTGTAATTTTTAACTCCAGAGATCTGTATCCAACCTACTTTTTATAGATTCCTGATATTCAATTTTTTTATTTTGGTCTAATATAGGTTTTCTTTGGCATGGTGGGCGTACACTTTTCCAATGACTGGAGCTGCCATTGCCACAATCAGGTATTCAAATGTGGTAACCAATGTAGTGACAAAATGTTTAACTGTGATACTATGTGTTACTGCAACACTCACAGTAACTGCACTGCTCGTAACAACAATCATCCATGCTTTCGTGCTTAGAAACCTCTTTCCCAATGACATTGCCATTGCAATTAGTCAAGGAAAGCCTAAAACAACTCGACGATGGTTTCATAGAAGATCTGGCAGCTCTGATACTACTATTAAACATATTGAACACTACCTCAAGTTTGCAGATTCAGAAGAAAAAGATATTGAAGCTTCTAATGAGTCGGCAGGAAAAGTTTGAACTTCTGGCATAAAAAGAAGTCTACAATATTCAGTACTTCATCAGTTTTACAGGTCCTGAAGTACTTACAAACAGTCTATCAAGGGAGGAGCAGTAAATCTTGAAGTCCCGATGAACTTGATGTACAACTTTATCAATATGGTTTATGTAGCAAGGAGAGATCAAGGAAAATTTTCCACTTTCTTTGAGCTGTAAATTGTTGTATTAGAAACTCTGAAAGTCTGAACAGTTGGATATCTTTCTGAATAAACTAAATTTTTAGCATGGATAAGAGTAATAATTTAGTCTGTTAGTCACTTAGTCGTTGGATGAGTCTGTATCCCATAGAACATTGTAAATTGGCTGCGGGAGTAACCTAGCCATTGGATGCCAATGTTTGTTTAAAGATGGGATGAAAATCAAGCAAACAAATATCTGATGACTGGAAACTGGCTCATGGAAGGGTTTCAAACTCCATCCTGCCAAAAGAACAGTTAAACATTATCTAATGAAAAGACTTAACATCCGGTTCTTGAATCTTAACTATATTTCGGCTAAAGGGTTTCAAATCTCAATAATAATATATTAGGGGGTGTGGATTTAGGATGCAGAAGTGTGAATTTAGCTTCTTTCATAAGTAATCTTATTAATATAATTACGCAAAAGTCAATCTATTGTTACAAAAGCATAACAAAATTTACAAAGTTTAGAAAACAAAAAAGGAAATTAAAAAGGGCAAGATTGGAGAAAAAGGAGAATCACTATTATTACAAAAATGTAGAAGTAATATATTGTTACAAAGTTCAGAACAGTCACTATTATTAGAACTTCAAAATGTGCTGAATAAGGAGAACTGGACAATGACAAGAACAAGGGTGATTCCCCATATATCACTCTTCTACAACTAAATAGAATCAGTGTAATTTCTCCCACGTATAATTCTAGCCAGTATACATTCTTGTACCTGAGAATATAGGTTAGATGACAATGTATAAGACGAAAAACACCAAGCTTACTATCAGCAGGAAAATGAGTAGGGCATAAAATTGAAGAGAAAACTAGAAAAACCAGAAGGACAATTAACAGCCCTAAAGAAAATAGTTTCAGTTCTTAGAAGGAAGGTGAAGAAAAACATTCAGCAACTTCATGTTTTTGTAGATTTTAATTTTAGCAATGCTAGAAAGTTCTATATCTTGAAATTCTTGTCAAATAGGTAAAAACTGACAAGTTGCAGACAAAATTAGACTTAAAAAACGGAAGAAAACATGATGCCAAAATCTGCCTTGTAAAATAATATTCCAGTCTCACGTTAATTAATTACCTCTTGCTTATTTCTGCCATTAATTTCAGTCTGCAATCTGTATTCTTCCATTCTCCAATGTGTTTTCTTAGCATGTGGTGGAGAACCTGAAAAATAAGTCAAATAAATTTTGAAAGCAAATATATCTCCTTCTGAATTGTGAATTGGTTCTTCTTCTCCAATGAATCTCCAGAAACCGATCCCATTTCCAACCATCCGAGTTGATCTTGTTTTCCCAAGAAAATATTCATCTTTGTATATGAAGAAAAGCCATTCCCTTTCATTATCATTAAAAGTACCATTTCCCACTGCAAAACAAATTTCAACACAATGAGTTGTAAACATAACCAAAAAAAAAACCATTCCATCAGAAAAAACAAAAACTTCAGTGGAATCTTTAGTCTTATTTCCAAAATCACAAAATTGCAACCATGATGTATACTGGAAGATGCCACTTAACTAGGAGTTGTCATGAACCAGGAATTGATCAAACTAGAAATAAATGACCTGAAGCGGAAATTGATGAAACTGGAAATAAATGAATTATCACGGGATGTATACTAGAATACAGATGGAGAATGAACTAGAAGGGAGAACGTAAGTTTAGATTGTTGCAATTCTAGTCATGAGTTATTTGCAATTCTGTTGTTTCTTATCCTTTCCATCTTTTGCAATTTTCTTGAATCACAACGTATAACGTATAATCTATAACCTATCATCGTGTAGTCTCATTATACCTAAGTGTAATCTTGATGTACCAAAACTATTGTTAAATATGTTACACAACTAGCATTACCATCTAAAAATAACAAAATTTTTGCAACTTCTTGCAACTTCCATAACAACTATATAAAAGAGCCCTACAAATCTGAAAAGCACCCTACAAATCTTTCCAGACTAATGTTACAAGCGCTATCCATACAGAATTAACATATAATCCATATGTAGAAGAATATAGATGTATAATCCATATGTATACTAGAATAAAGATGGAGAATGAACTAGAAGGGAGAACGTAAGTTTAGATTGTTGCAATTCTAGTCATGAGTTATTTGCAATTCTGTTGTTTCTTATCCTTTCCATCTTTTGCAATTTTCTTGAATCACAACGTATAACGTATAATCTATAACCCATCATCGTGTAGTCTCATTATACCTAAGTGTAATCTTGATGTACCAAAACTATTGTTAAATACGTTACACAACTAGCATTACCATCTAAAAATAACAAAATTTTTGCAACTTCTTGCAACTTCCATAACAACTATATAAAAGAGCCCTACAAATCTGAAAAGCACCCTACAAATCTTTCCAGACTAATGTTACAAGCGCTATCCATACAGAATTAACATATAATCCAGATGTAGAAGAATATAGATGACAGAGTGAGATGTACCTAAACATTTGGGATGTTTGCTATAGAGGTCGTGGGCATCAATTTCTCGGATGATCTTAACCGGGAGAGGTTTGTAGAGTACTTTGTTAGCCAGATAATACTTGACCAGCTCTTCATCAGTGGGCACAAATCTATACCCAACAGGCATCTCCAACTCCAACAAATGTTGGCTGGTTTCCATGAGAAAATGCTGATTTTGAGTAACAAATCAATGAAGAAGATGGACAAAATAGAGCCAAGACTTGAAAGAACGAAGATGGTAGTAGCTTTACCAACTGAAGCCCGTATTTTATATTAGCTTGTATTGAACAATTGCGCGTATACGTACGTTTCTTTTAGAAGGAAAGTTGAATCCTAGTACAACTTGGAGTATTTAAAGTCTACACAATTTTAGGCGACTTTTTCAATTGTTTGTGGCTAAGAAAAGATGAGAACGTATTCGTTTTCTGGTGAAGAGTAACCCTAAATGAGTTTCCTAAAACTGTGTGAATTGACTTTTTCAATAATTTCATTTCCATTTTTAATAGTAGTTCTATATCTAGACCAAAATTAACGTTAAAGGGAGATCACAATGGATTGAATATGCACATTCTACGTTCTCTGTATTCTATATGTACTAGTGACAAGGATACCCAATCAGTGTGTAATTTAGAAACAATTGCTTTTTATATAGAAGAATTTAATATAAAATTTTCATAAACACAAAAAAACTTTGATCTTTTTAAAGTTTTTTTAATCAAATTTTAATTAATTTGGTGGTTACAATGTTTGTGGGTGAGTATGGGTAAAAATTAGTTGTGATTATATTGGTTGGCAACATGTAATTAGATAGTAAAGATATAATATAGTGATTATCAGGGTAAAGTTGAAAATTCAAAAAGTGACAGAAGAAAAAGTTTACACCAAATCCAATACTCTCTCTTTATATATACTAGTGCTTGAGGCAACCCTAATGTGTCTGCATTTAATAAAAAGCATATTTATCAAAATTATCCCTTTATAATATTTTCTTATTGGTTATATTTTTTTTTATAATGTAGATAATTGTATATAAATATGATGGAAGCTGAGCAAATTACATGGGAGTTGAGAGTTAGTGTAAAAAATTGGATAAGCTCAACAAATAACTCTCTCCTAATTGTGGGGAAGTTTGTTTAGTATACTGGGACAAATTTACCCTTGTCATTAAGGATAGATTAGGAATTTTAAAAAATAACACTATTTATCACACATTGATGCTTATTGTATAGACTAGTGTTAAGGGTACATTCAATGTGTGTGCAATTAGGGATCAATTAGGTGGAAAGTTTTGAACCTAGAACTTCTCATTTACACTCCCTCCATCAGTGCCATCCAACCAATTCCTTCTCCCCGATTTTATTCCCTTCTTAATAAACATTAATTGAGTCTTTTATATGATTGACATTTATATTTATTTGTACTATATAAAAAGGGAGAGATGGGGTTTGGAGTAACACTTTGACAGGTGTCGACCCTACACGGTAATAAAAGTCTTACCGGAGAAAATAAGATTTTGTATAGAGCAACAAGTAGAATCATCTCCATAGGGATTGGCGAGAAATTTGTTTCTTCTCTAGTAAGAATTATGGGGGATTTTAGAAAATTCAAAAATAACTAATTAATAAATAATTCATGAAAATAAACAAGAATTAATTCAATAATAAACATGACTCTAATCAAAGATACAACATTTCATATATGATTCACACAACTGATCATTGATGTAAGAATAGATTAATTACTCATTAATAGATTGGTTATAGCCATCAACAAACTCTGACAACCAATTTTTTCTTACTTTATTGATAATCAAGGTACGATCGTTAACTATTTCCCTAATCAAGAAACAATTCTAGGTATGACCATATGATTTAATTTTCTAATTGTATTAAAAACTAGAAAAGTCCAACCCTAACCAATAAGTATGCTACGAGAGTTTGTTTAATTTAGATCATACGTTTCCCTAACATGAAACCAATCACACTAGTTACCACTAGTATTAACCAATCAAACAGTTACATATTTAACTAGTTAATATGGCAGTAGATTATGAGGTTAATTTGAATATCAGCCCCTTGATATCCAAATAACAAAATAATCATAAGAAATTAAATAAAAAAAATATACAAATGCCAATGAATTAAAAGAAATAATTAAAAATTAATCTTCAAATAGCCAAAAATATTGTTGAACTCCCTATTTGGATTTACATCTATGGGAGGCAAAATAGATCATTCAGTAGTCAATTCTGTCAGACTGTATTCATTTCGAATTAGCAGAGAAAATTATCATTTAATTGGATCTCTCCTACCATCTGTTGAAGAATTAGGTAGATTCATACAACTGCATATTTTTTATACCGATAATGAGTTACAAAATCGTATGAATCTTCTAAATAGTCATGATGGCAATCCAATTGGAATTGATGCATCCGTAGTTGAGGGGTTACATAGTATGTTAGATGAGATCAACTCATATGTACAGGTATTTCAGAATGCTAGAGACATGCTTCGAAATCAAAATGTTTCGAATCTTCAAGTACAAATAATTTGTGCTCGAGGTGATAAACAATATATCCAACCAGCTGTAAATGAAGTTGCTGCTATACTCATAGGTGAAGATAGTGGGCATATTACACATCGTGATATTGTAGTTGTTGCTCGAGATGGAAATTTGAAAAGAATTAAGGAGACTTAACCATCTTACATGCCACTACAATATCCTTTACTATTTCCCTATGGAACAGATGGATGGCGATGTGGCATAAAATTTTCACGCTCTTCTACTAAGAAGAGACAATTTGTTTCAATCCATGAATTTTGTGCTTTCCGGATTCAATTTCAATACAATAAAGGTCATACACTTCTAAAAGGTGTTAAACTATTCCAACAGTTTGTCGTTGATTGCTATGTAGCAATTGAATACGACAGATTAAATTTCATGAAAATCCATCAGTCTGTATTGCGGGCTGATGTATATCAAGGTTTGGAAAATCCTTTCCTTTTCTTTTGCTTAGATTCAATCTCTCTCAGCCTTACTCAGTCTTTCCTCTCTTAGACCTCTACCCGAGAACCCCTTTCTTCCTCTCCCTTTTTGCTCTTGTTTTTCACTCTTCACCCCGGTTTCCCTCACTCAGCTGCCACTTTTGCTCTTTCACTCTCCTTAGCCGTCACACTTTCTTTTCACTCCTTCAACCCTTGGTTCCCTTTGCTTCCTTATATAGTAGTTGGCAACCTCAAAAATCCTGATCTCAACGGTTCTCCCTAAACCTCAGTTCACCGATTCTATTTTAGCCATCGGATTGGTTTCATTTCTAGATTCTTCTTGGTTTTTGGATGAAAGCCAGGTGGAATGAGGTTAACATGATCCAATGGTGAAAGAAAAACCATGGGAAAATGGTGGAAAAGAAAATGGAACCAAGCGATATCTCGTTTCTGTACCTTCGCGCATGGTTTCTGATATGAAACTAAAGAAATGTTTGGTTCATGTGAGCTCACGCGCGCGTGGCTTTAGTCTTTTTTAAAAAAAAAAAACTGATTTTCATCATTTTTTCCTCTCTTTTCCTTTTCATCAGAAACAATTTGGGTAAACAAACAAAAATACATTGCCATATTTTCATTTATTTCCAATGAAATTAAATCTAAAGGTGAGGCTAAAAACAAATTTCCAATTTTTGTGAGAATTTTTTCTTTTCAAAATTTTGATGTAAAAATCTCTTAAAAATGGAAATAATAAAGCTAATTAATGAAATAAATGAAAATAATAAAGCTAACAAATAAAACAAAAATTGAACTAAATAAGGGATAAAGCTAAAAAATCAAATAAATGAAATTTTTGGTGTCTACAGCTTGCCCCTCTTTATCTAAGTTTCAAAGAATCTCAAGACAAAGACGTAGACACCAAATACCTACATGTGGTTATTCTAACGTGAGCTGGAACATGTAAGCATAGAAAGGCTAGTGGGATAAGAACCCGAGCCTGCGGTATAGTAACCTCGTCAGTGGGATGAAAAACCCGAGCCTGCCTTCACTTGGTTAGTGGGAGCCTGCCTTCACTTGGTCAGTGGGATGAATACCTGAGCCTGCAGTATAGTAACCTCGTCAGTGGGATGAAAAACCCGAGTCTTCCTTCACTTGGTCAGTGGGATGAGTACCCGAGCCTGCCTTTACTTGGTCAGTGGAATGAATACCAGAGCGTGCGGTATAGTAACCTCGTTAGTGGGGTGAAAAATCCGAGCCTGTCTTCACTTGGTCAGTGGGATGAATACCCGAGCCTGCCTTCACTTGGGAAGATTTGTGCAAAACTTTTTGTAGAATTTCGAAAAGAAAGACAAACGATTTCTTCTAAAAATTGCCCCAGTGTAATGCTATTGGGCTGTCGGACCTGCAAGAAAAGAAATAATGATAGATAATGCCACCACCATCCAATCAACCCCTTCTTCAAGAAATGTGTAAACATGAGTATTTGGACTTCTTATTTGATGTAGCGAGTACTTCAATCTTGCCCTACGAACAATATCAAGCTTCCATAATTTCTCATACTTAAATCAACATGTTATTTAGTATCCATTTACTTTCGATAAATCATAGGGATTGCCGTTTGATAAAACGAAAAAGACAAATGCGACCATGAAACACATGAAAAAATATTCTAATTGCACATAATGATGAAAATTCTAATAATATAAACACAACCATCTACTTTTATTGAACGAAAAATCATTTCAAATAAATAAACTTGTATACTCAAATTCAAAAGCTTGTGTTTGACAAATCGAGCACTTTGGTTCTCGAACAAAATGCTACGTTTGACCCTTTGGATATCATTCTTCCGGAGTTCAATGCTTGACAACAGAACCACAATTTGAGGAGAAATTCCAATGAACTAAGTCACCAGCTCTTCGGATCCAAGCTCACTTTTTCTTATAAAACCCTACCTCAGTGCCCTTTCGGGTTTTCACTAAGGTTGCCCCTGCCCATTGTATTTTCTTTTCTTTTTTTTTTCATTTTTCTTTTCCCTTTTTCTTTTTCTTTTCTTTTTCTTTTGTCTTTTTTTTTTCAAAGGTGCCCTTGCGGGTTTTCACCTAACAAACAAATCTTGTCTACCGCCCATATTAATTCAGAAATGTGTTTTAAGAAATAATGGCATCAGTATAACAATCCTTCCCTTGCAAAATAGGTGAAGGTGTTTTTGACATCATGTGCC